CGGGGCGCGCAGGTGCAGGCGGCGGGCCGGCCGGCTCCCGGCAGCAGGGCAGGAACCGCGGCCCCGGCGCGGACGGCCAGCGACCCCGGGCGCCAGGCGGGTGAGCAGTGGGGGCCTCTTGTTTTGAGATGGGGACTCAGCCCAGGCTAGCCTCGAACTCGCTGTGGAGCCCAAACTGGCTTTGACTGCTCCCGTTCCTCCACCTCCCCAGTGTTAGGATTGCAGGCAGCTGAGGTTCTCCTCCTCATCACCACCACCATTACCATCAGCGGACGGCCAGCGACCCCGGGCGCCAGGCGGGTGAGCAGTGGGGGCCTCTTGTTTTGAGATGGGGACTCAGCCCAGGCTAGCCTCGAACTCGCTGTGGAGCCCAAACTGGCTTTGACTGCTCCCGTTCCTCCACCTCCCCAGTGTTAGGATTGCAGGCAGCTGAGGTTCTCCTCCTCATCACCACCACCATTACCATCATCTTGACAGGATCGCACCCTGTGGTCCAAGCTAACTCTGTTGCCAGGTTAGCCTCAAACTCAAAGTAAGGCTTCAGGAGGAGCTGGGATTGTACAGGCAAGCTCTTGCCAGAGGGTCTAGAAAGGCCCGCTGCCTGTGGAAGCTGGTTTGCTCTTGGGATGTCTCTCCACGCGCATAAGCTATGGTTGGCCAGGCCTTAAATTCCCTAGATGTGTACTGTGAGGAACTTAGTCTGTTCCTCCCTAGACCTGGCACTACCTGTGGATTCCCTTAGTCATGACACTAATCCCTTACGTGTAGGAGGCCTGTGATTGTCATACCATCCTCTTACATGATCTCCAGGCTCCAGAGAGCAGGGTCTGCTGCCAGCTGCGTGGCAAGCCCACTTCTGGAGGAGAGTGTCTGGCCTTGGGAAGCTTAGGGACTGTATTGCAGAAAGAACATGAAAGGAGAGATGGACAGGGACAGGAAAGCAGTAATGAGCACGGCTGGGCCCTGGCTGATTGATCTTGTATATCATCTAATAGGTGGTAACAAGTGTAGCAACTAGAATATTTGGAATGACACTTTTTTGTTCATTATTTAGGCTTTTGTGTGTTTTTTTAAAGAGAGGGTCTGGCTCTGTTGCTGCCCCTGCCTCTGCTTCCTGGGTGCTAGGGTTACAGGCATGATGTACGCAGCTCATTATTAGTTTTTTTTAGAAAGATTTTTATGTGGAAAGTGCACCTCAAAGGCCACACGTTACCAGCAGTTGTGAGCTGCCTGGTTTCGCTGCTAGGAATTGAAGTCAGGCCCTCTAGAAGAGCAGCAAGTGCTCTTAACCACTGAGCCATCTCCAGCCCTCATTACTAGATATTTATGTAGACTTTGTATTCCATCACACATCTAGTACAAGCACTAGTTGATGCCTGCATCCCAGTCATAATTTAGTATGACTGATTGATAACCGTCAGATTTATTATATAGACAGCAAAACTAAACAGGAAGATAATGTGGGATACAGGAATTTACTTACTACAAATTATCTCTACTTAACCGTGGATTTTACTGAAAAGATTTAATTTTCTGTCACCGTAATGTGGTTACTTGATTCCAAGTGAAGCGGTATTGGATATTGGATACCCTAGTCTGTAAAAAAATAAATAAATAAATAAAAGGTAACTCAATTTTTAAACAGTAACATGGTAAAAACAAATTTTAGACTGTGCGAATAGTGGAGTCCTGTTGCCGTATTTTAGTAACATGTGCTCCTGACAAAATCATTGGCATTAAGTGCTGCAAGGTTATAAATTATTTTTAATTAAGTTGGACCTTGACTTTGCTTTGCCCTGTCATTATCTGGCATGTGTTCTCAGACCTGTGTGACTCATTGTCCTTTTTTCCCCATTTGCAGGCAGAGAGTATGTTATTCCATCCTTGGCACACAGATTTATGGCAGAGATGGTGGATTTCTTTATTCTCTTCTTTATAAAAGCAACCATTGTCTTGAGCATCATGCATCTCAGTGGAATAAAGTAAGTTAAGGACATTCACAGAAGGGTTTGAAGTTATTGTACTTAAAAGACCTCGCAGGGGACTATGGGTAATGACCCTGGGTCAGAATTCCTTTATGAGCACTTTGTCCTTTTTTTTTAAAACTGCATTTTTTTTAAAAGGGGTGTGCACATGCACATGGGTGTGCTTGCCCATGTGTGTACATGTGTCGACCAAGAAGCCCACAGTGGGTATTCACTGTTGCTCTCTACTGTAGTTCAGCTAGACGGGCTGGGCATGGAATCTCCAGGATCCGTCTAGTTCTACCCCAGTGCTGAGGTTATAGGTGCACCACCACACCTGGTTTTTAGGTAGGTTCAGAGGATCTCAGCTCAGGTCCTCATGCTTGCACAGCACTGTACTCACTGACCTATCACCCTAGCCCCCTATTGGTTTTTAAGAAATGAATGGGGGGAGCAAAAGTTCTTTAAGATCTGTGGAAAAAGTTGGGTGAGGTGGTGTATGCCTTTAGTCTCAGCACTTTGGAGGCAGAGATAGGCGGATCTCTGTGATATTGAGACCAGCCTGGTCTACATAGTGAGTCCCAGACCAGCCCGGGCTATATAATGAGACTTGTTGGGGGCAGGGGGGAGCGGTCCAAACCTATTTTATTTTTACTAACTATTCTTTTAGATCAGGTATTAATTTCCCTCTTAATTGGCCTGTGGAGTCTCTAAAGAGAAAAGGCCTTTAGTGGTGAACTGTTAGCAGTCAACTAGAAGTACTTCCATTGGGGTCACTTACAATTGGGAAAATCCCACTCTCACTGCTAAGTGTGGCATCTACCTGAGTAACTCAGCATCTTAGGAATCCTAACAGCTGTTGGCACTTACTAAGCATTTTCTGTGTGCATTGAGCTTGTTTATTAATTTTTCCTTAGTCTTAGTACCACTCTGAGGTAGATGATAATACTTCCTTTTCACATAGAGATTGAAATAATGGATTTATGAGAAACTAAAACTAAAAAGTTACAAAGGTAGTATCATTGCCGTGATAGACATGATACAAACTTGTAGTTAAAGTTCAGGCCCTTGCCAGGTGTTAACTGTGATCCCTTCCTGCCCTCCCTTCTAACACCTCTAAGCAATAAGAACTTTTATTTTGCCTTACATTTTTATTGTGTGAGTATGGATGCATATACACCACATTGTACATGTGGAAGTCAGGACAACTTTTGGGAGTCAGCTCTCTTCTTATCCCATATGGGTCCCAGGGATGTAACTCAGGCTGCCAGCTTGGCAGCAGGCTTCTTTACTCACTGAACCGCCTTGCTGGCCCAGTACCAACTCCTTTAAATTCAATTTTAACTATTTTTAACCCATGTCATTTCCTCTCACCACCAGAATATTTTTCTTTGCTGTTGTTTCTCCCTAGTCCAGTTACTGTTCTCTTGCTTGGATGATAATTGCTAATGCAACCTCAGGGTGTTTTGTTTTCCCCAATCTCAACTAAGTCTCTGATAAAGAACAAAATGGTCGTCTCTGCCTTAATACCCTCTGGTAGTTCTTCATTGGCAATATAGTCTGAATTTTATCATGTGTTTCTTAATCACAGTCCTGTCTCACACTTAATAACTTAGCTCTATCACTGGTTCCAAGGCTTCCTTTGTATCTGTGCAGCGTCATTTCTAGAAAGGCTTTGAAAGGCAAGTGTGGCTGGTCTGTTCACTGTGACGCTCTAGTTCCTACCACAGTTGGCATCCTACTTTATTATTTCTTCTTGTTCTAGTTCCCTTGCTGGGTTAGTCGCCATGAAAGCTGAGACATTTAGGATTCCCTCATCATCATGTCCACTGGCCTGGAACAGTTCCTGCTCTTCAGAGCGCTGCTGCTTTTTGTGTATCTGCAGGGCCTCAAGCATGCTAGACAAGTGCTCTACCACTGAGCTACACCCACAAACATGACCATGCCTTTTGCTTTTATTTATTTATTTGTTTATTGCTATTTGTTAAATAAACTTTAAAAAAAAATTTTAAATTGTGTATATGTATGTCGTTTTGTCCATGTAACTGATTCCCCTGGAGCTGGAGTTACAGGGAGTTGTGAGTCACCTGATGAGGGTGCTAGGAATTCTCTGCAAGATCTGTGCTCTTAACTGCTGAGCAATGGCCCTGTAGAATAAACTAATAGATATTTTGTACAATTATTTGTTGGGAACCTAAAGGTTAGCTTAGAATTTTATTTAAAATTTATGACATATTAGTGGGAAAAAAATGGCCCAACTGCCCTAATTCTTTATAACTCCAAACTCTTACTTTTGGATAGGGACATCTCTAAGTTTGCCATGCACTACATAATAGAAGAGATAGATGAAGACACATCAATGGAAGACTTGCAGAAAATGATGATTGTGGCACTCATCTACAGATTGTTAGTTTGTTTCTATGAGGTAAGCTATTGACTGGAGCAAAAACTGTTTTAATGGTGTAATTTTAGATTTTCCACCAGGCAAAAAAACCCCAAAAACTTGTAATCATGTATTTTTCAAAGTCTTTCCATATTACTTGTATTTTTTCACAGTTGCTTAAATTAACATTTTCAAGTAAAAAGTCCAACTTTTGGATTTTGGAGACATAATTGCTTTGTTATGCTTTTTAGGTTAAGAAATAAAATTACATTCATAAACAGATTGTGATCCAAAAAATATGGATTGGTTTAGAAATTTCTTGATTAGAAATTATAATAGGCCATAAAAATATTAGACATCTTTTGGTATAGAACACATTAAGAAACTGTAGAATGCATTATTTAATTGGCAAGGTGGGTTGGTAATTGGTGCTTCAACCCAGGGACTGACATATGCCAGGCAAGCAGATTACTGAGCTACATCCCTAGACCTAGACCTTTCTTGCTTTGTTGTCATGGTAGGACTTGAAGGACATGGCATTCATTGGATCTCAGCCTACCAAGTAGCTGGGATCAATAGCCCTTGTGCCACCAGGCCCAGGCCCTTATTTAGCATGGTTGTTTGTTAGACAGGGCCTCATTGTGTGGCCTGGCTTGGCTTCCTTGGCCATCTTCCTGCCTCATGCTCTCTAGTGCTGGGATGGACATGTGCCACAGGCCTGCTTCATTGGTTGGTTTTTAGTATTATACAGTTGGCTTTTCCAGCATGACATTTTTTAAAGCATATAGTAGTATGATGGAACAACTTATCTTTAAAATTGGGATAGTTGAACCAGTAAGTTATTCTCAAATTATCCTTCTTTCTTTAGATAATTTGCATTTGGGGAGCAGGGGGAGCTACCCCAGGAAAGTTCCTGCTAGGGCTCCGAGTTGTGACATGTGATACATCGGTACTTATTGCTCCAAGTCGAGTTTTAGTGATTCCTTCCTCAAATGTTAGCATTACAACGTAAGTCCTTTTCTTAGCTTAATATAGTATGTACTTGTGTTTTACTACATAATGATGTCCGTTGGCCATAGTTTACGGCATACTCAGCAGTGAGCACCTAAGATTCTGTTACATAGTGACTCGTAGGGTGTAGAAGTACACTGATCTTTGCATCATCAGGATGGTTCACATTGCTCGGTGTGGATCCCTCATTAAGTGACACAGGATTGTGTTGAGTATGCCCTGCATTGCAGGTTTGATCGTGTTTTAGAATATTGGTATTTTTTCTTCATGCATATATTGCAATTGGATGGATTTATATTCCAAGTTCTGAGCATTTTTTTCAGTCGTTACCTTCCGCACACATACCCAAGATGATCATTTTATTAAACCTGTCAGAATGAGAGTACTTGGGATGTTGGTGTCAGTGCTCCATGCCTGGCTTTAGTCCCTGGCTCTGGAGACTGTCAGTCTTGAGCCACTCTGTGGTCAGGATACCCACCATGCTCCCATCCTGAGCAGTAATGCGTGACAGCCACACTCCATGCTTGCATCCTGCTCCTGCTCGTGAGTGTAGAGCCTGTGGTACTGCCAGTCTTTATTGCTGGATTTTGGCATCAAGCTCTGGGGAGGATACAGCTAGTGGTGGGAAAAGTTGGGAGGGTGAGTGGGCGATAATCACTTGAGCCAAACAAGACCTGGCTGTAATTTCCAGAATGATTCAGGGGGATTGTTACATAAGGAAATATGAAGAGACGCCAGAAGCAGCCTGGATTTTGCTGACATAGGCAAAATTTCCTGAAAATTTTGTGGTTTTAATCCTATCTACTTTCAATACAAGAGTCAATAGTGATTATTTACTGAGCACTTATATACCAGGCACTTTTAGTAACAATGCATAATAGCTAATTTAACATGACACTTGTATATCATTTTTGCTGTTGTGGAACAGAAGTGATAAAATATGTGAAACCAATTAAGTGTGGATTCAGAGCTACTACACTAAGCAGAAACTTAACATTACTAGTTGGCCAATTCTCTCATTTTGAGCTCTTCTTGAAAGTTTCTCTTTTGGTCTTTTTGAGACAGTCTCCTTATGGCTACAGCTGGCCTGAAACTCACTATGTAGACCAAGCTAGTCTCACCAGATCACCTACCTCTGCCTCCCAGGTTTGGTAGGATTAAAGGCATGCACCACCAGGCCCAGCTCTTGTTGAAAGCTTAAGGTGTCTATTAATAACTGGACCCAAAGAGGGAAAAGCTGATAGAACTGACAGTGCTTTAAAATAAGGCAGGAAATAAGACTGTAGTAAGCACACTCAGTTTAGGAGATTCTAGAAACACATGGGAATAAGTGACTATGGTAAAGGTAAGCAAGGGGAAGTTACTTTTCTGGCAAAATACTAGAAAAATACTGTGAACGGTTTTTTAGCTGGTATTCTGAGATGTTTATTACTGTTTTTCATAGGAAATTTCTAGCCTTCAATGTTGTCTTTAGAAATAGATGTAGATTTTTGTAAGTTTCTTGAAAGTAACATGTCAGAGAGAAAATTCTCTCGATTATACTTTGAATGTTTTTAAGACATTTGAACTTGATAGAATACCCTTAATCTCCAGCTAATATAAAAGCTTCGTATTTCTGCCTTACTCTTTTTAGGTCCACCATACGAGCTTTGATCAAGAATTTTTCTATTGCTTCTTTTTTCCCTGCTTTCATCACGCTGCTGTTTTTTCAGCATAATCGAACAGCCTATGACATCGTAGCAGGAACCATTGTGGTAAAAAGAAATGGGATCAGATGATGTTCCCAAAGCCCTGAATGACAAGACTAAATTATGTATCAAGGCCACCAACCAATATCCCTGACTTACGTTAATTGATGATTTAAAAATGAAAGCAGTCACTTGCACATGATGCAGAGGACTGTTATGAAAGTGTTGATTATACCTGAATGCCAAAGAACTTTTCCAGAAGAAAAAAAATCTGTTAAATTCAAGTGTTAAAAAGTATTTTTAGGTCAAAAAGGCAAATGGTTTCAGAATCAGTAGACATATACTTTGACATCAAAGTTACCAAAATTTGCTGAAAGCATTTTCAACTTTATAAATCTCCAAATGAAACTTAAAAAAATTTTTTTAGCTTATCCCAGAGTGATAGAAAATGCCTAATTGTGTTTTGTAAACACCTACAAAACTTGTCTATAATTCTTGGGGAAGTTGCCTTTGCTTTCTTTGGGCAGTGAGAAAGAGCGTCGATTGGACAGTCCATTTCCTCCATGTCAGGTGTTGAATCAGCATCCTGGTAAAGGAGCTAATGAGGAAGCCTAGCCGACCCTTTAGGCTTTCCAGAATGTAATGGTGTGACTTCACACTTCTGACTGCTTATGTATTTGGTGGCAAGCTTTTCATGATTGTGATGAAAAAAGTATTAAGTCATATCATTGATATTTTAAAGAAAAGGTAAGTTAGTGATGGCCTTCAGTGAGGGGTGGGTGGGGGTGGGGTTGTGAATGTCAATGTAAATTCAGCTTACAATTCATGTGCAAGTATTCTCAGTGCCCTAAAATCAAACTATAAATAACATGGGGGAAGCATCCATCAAACCGTAAAACAATATATTGTGTGTGTATATGTGTGTGTGTGTGTGTGTGTGTGTGTGCGCGCGCACACGTACAGCATGAACAAAGTATTAGTGCTTTTCAGTGTTCAGAATATACATGTAAATTCTATTTATATACAGTAAACTCCTAAGTGACTTTAATATTTTATACAGTTCCATGACTGTCAAAACAACAAGGTATTTAATCTTAGTATTCTGTGGATTTCTCTGTGAAACACCAGCTTTCCCATTATGAATTGTCCCCTCTAAAGCAAGGCAGAGCATCATCTCCAGACAGTATTCTAGCTTCCTTAAGCTCATTTGGGGCCTGCTAGGATGAAATTTGGGGGAAATATTAAAGTAACTTGTATATGGCAATTTTATTTCACTGTTGGAGCACAGTGGGATTGACATTGTGTGCTTTTCTTGTGCTCTAGTTAAGCTGTATTGAAATGTACCTGCACTGTAGTTTCTGAGTCGATTTTTCCCAAGAAACACTATAAATTGTATTGCAGTTCAAAAGTAGACTGTGTTTTAAATAGTAAATGTAAGCCATGTCTGTTGTCACTATATCAATTTTAAAGTGGGGTTTTTTCTTTGAAAATTTTAAACTGTGAAAATTCATTTAATGTCTACAGACACTAAATTTCATTACACATACCTATGTAAGATTTCATAAACCATGTTTTTCAGAATAATTTTATTTAAATTAAATCCAGTTTCACAGATTACTAAGTAGATCATTTACTTGTAGTCCCTGGAAGATTTTATGGCTCTTCACAGTAAGAGAAAGGAGGGAAATTTTTGTCAGATAAAACTCGGCTTTGGTGTATGCACTCCTTCCAACTAGGGAACTTGGATTGAAATGTGCTTGACTCACACAGCTCTTGATTATCAGAACTACTCAGATAATTCCGTACTTTGAGGATTTTTTGTTTTTATGGTGAAACAAGTAGTCCAGTTTGTCATAAAGTACAGTGATGTGCTATAGACAAGTTCTTTGGACTAGTACCTAGGTCCAGCTATGGATTCCAGTTGTGCCATACAGGCCTGTAAGATATGTGAGTATTACTTTGTCTTTACAATAAAACCTAATTCCGAGTTCAGCACTTAGAGAAAGAAATTTTGATCGTCAGATTCTCAAAGATGGAGAAAAGGGAACTGCGCCCTTTTCCTCGTGAGTCTCCTTTTCAGAACATGACTGTATTCACTTAAAGCAATACTGATTTCCTGTGCTGGAGTGCAGTTCTCAGTTTGAAAATGTATCCTAAAAAGGCAAAAGATAGATTCGTAGTATATACACTTTAATTAGTAACAAAAATTAAAACTCAAGCCTTGTGTTTTCAACAAGCACACCCAGGTTAAAAACTGTAGGATTGAATTGGAAAAATCATGAAGTCTTGTTGCTGTATTACCATTCAGTTATAAACTGGCAGTACCCATCACTGAGAGCATTCTTGGAGTGGCTAAGAGACCTCAGAAGTCAGAGTGCCAATGCATGCTGGAGTCAGAAGCAAGTTCTAGCAGTCATGGAGAGTGGTAGCCTTGCTGGTAGGGCTTGCTCAGTGACTTGACAGTGCTCAATAAAGCATCACCCACACTGCTTCTTCCAGCACCTGAGTGAGGCTGAGAAGACATCCTAGTTGAGTCTTCAGAAGGCCTTGATGGATTTGAGAGTTGTAACTCATGTTCTAAAAGATTGTTCCCTGCAATGATTTGAGTTCCACTTATACCTGACTTGCTGGAAGAAAGTTAAAAGATTCCATTTATTACTTGGAAATAAAGGGCTTGGGAGGTGGGGTGCAGGAAGCTAATGTTTCTTCAAGGAATATGCCTAGATAACATTCTTAAATGCTGACAAGGACCCTTTCAGTTCCGTATCATCTCCATCCCCAAGTCTGTACTGCATGCTAGAAGGTCCTCCATTCAACTGGTATGCACATCTTTCCTTATAGTCCATCACGTAATAGGGCTTGGCCTGCAAACTGTATCTAATGGCCCACCCAAAAATAAAACAGCTCTTTAAAATTTGTGTGTCACGAGTTTCTATTTTTTGTCTCAATAAATACTTAAGTCAACAGTTATCTATGTTTTGTCTGTTCTTTGCAAAGTTTTACTAAGACCTTGCTTCCAGACAGCTACAGCAGTGGATTAATCTGGCATCAGAAACAGAGCTGGGATTATGGTTCAGTGATCCAACACTTACCTAGCATATACCTGTACTATCAAAAAAATGTATGAAAACATCACTTTTAGGAAGTACAAGTCACTTGCACTTGAATTCAACTTGATGTTAAACTCACCTGGTATTTTCTTGGAGCTGTCAGTCATAACACTACCGAAATTTAAGAGCCATATCCAAAAAGCCTTTACAGTTCAGCCCACAGGAAGGGCAGGATACAAAAACATTTCCTTAAAAAGGGAAACTGGCGGGCACAGTACAGAGCTGACTATTCCCAGAACTCAGGAGGCTAGCTAATGCAGGAAGGTTGCTGTGAATTTGAGGCTAGCCTGTGCTACAGTGTAAGACCCAGCCTCAGAGAAAAAAAAAAGGGACAGGAGGAGGTGAGACAATGCCAACTTGAGTGCAGCTAAAAGACATCGTGGTCCAAGTGCTACAGACTGTAGTATTCTAAAGCCAAAGGTATGTATTTTGGAACTACAGTGGACTTTTGAGCAATATAAACACCCCCAACCCCAATGAAAAATCTGCCCCATATTACAGGGAAACGAAGGCTCTTGTTTAGTCATGTAGCCAAGGTTTTAAATATCCTCATTTCTCAATGCTACTACAGCAAACGTACTAGTGTCTGGTAAAAATCACTATTTTTATAAAATCAGTGTTTTTACTTCAAATATCAAAAGACAATTTCAAGTTGTCTGAATTGTACTTTTCCTTTATGCCTGGTATTGTTATCACTCAAAACCTAGCACTTTTAGGCTTCAAATGCCATCCCCAGACCTGACAAGACCCCAGTCCTGAAAAGTTTTTCTGGACTTGGGGGAGGGGGTGGTAAATACATAGTAATACAAATAATAATGCTATATAATTACACAAATGGCACCCCCAGACCTGACAAGACTCCCAGGTACCTTTAATGATGCAGCTTTGGATTCTATCCAAAGCCAGTCTGTCACTGTTGGTGACTTCTCAGAACATGTGCTTACATACACTCCAGTGAAGAACACCCTCAGAACCACTTCTGTCAGCTGACTTCACTATATAAACATACTTAAAACTTTATGCACACAACTACCACCCCCCTCAGATTCTTTACCATTAAAGATTCCATAGCCGGGCATGGTGGTACATGTCTAAACCCAGCATTCAGGAGGCAGAGGCAGGTGGATCTCTGTGAGTTCCAGGCCAGCCTGGTCTATCTAGTTCTAGGCCAGCTGGGTCTACGGGGAGACCCTGTCTCAAATAGCCCCCCCCCCAAATCCTTTTTAGCTCAGCATGAAAAGTGAGTTTTTGTTTTCTTTTTTCCATTCTTCCACAAACAGCTCAAGAAGGGCATATGTATGGACATTACAAACATATCACCCAAGGCAGCTATTACCCCAGAGGGAGTGGATCAAAAGTGTAAGTCTCTAGCCCCATCCAGTCAAAGAAGAGCTACACACCTCTGCTGGGCCTGAGGACGAACGGGCTGAAGGAGTGCCACTACCATGGCTCTTGTGTATCTGAAGAATTAAAGCAGTCTTGGATCTGGGAGGAGTCTGACTCCTGGAGAGCCTACAGACACCAGTTACCAGTCAAGTATGACTTTTAGTAACTTATTCGAAAGATGGAACACTAAAACTGTAGCATTCCTACTACGCCAGCACAATAAAAAGCCTGACTCAAAATTTGTTTCTAAGTGTGGCTCAAACTTGAAGGACACTCCTTCCCCCATATATCTCTTGGAAGCCACTTGAATTGTTTTCTTGAAACTATCAGGCCCAACCCATGATTTTATTCAAAATGGTTTCTCCAGCTTCAGGTGGGGAAGTGCAAGCTTGACTCCACCCTTAACAGACCTTCCTGGGATGCTACTTCATCCCTAGATCTTTCTTACCTGACGTCAACTGTCCTTCGCCGTCCTCACTGCAATGAAGACAGCTGCCTTGCTTTCAGCGATCTGATGTGGGCATTCTCAAACATAGCCACATCCTCCACTATCTTTTTGGGTGGAGTATCAAATTCAGATTGTCAAACAAGTGAGATCAAGTGCCCATGTCAGGAGACACAGAGCACATGGTTTGGGGGGGTTAATTTAAAAAGACTTTGAAAGCACAAGGTGCTATTCCAAAAGTTGTTTTTCTAGTGGGGGGGGGAGAGAAATACATAGTGATACAAATAATAATGCAATAAAATTATACAAAACACCGCTACTACTTTTATGGACTGCTTGAGGCACGTATCTCCAAGAATGTGATCAATAAACATTGTCCAGGCACCCAGCAAGCCCATCAGGGAAGACAGAAGTACAAACAGTTGTGTGTTTATTTTCAAGCTTTAAAAAAGTATTATCTATGTGCAAATTCATAGTGATACAAATAATAATGCAATAAAATTATACAAAACACCGCTACTACTTTTATGGACTGCTTGAGGCACGTATCTCCAAGAATGTGATCAATAAACATTGTCCAGGCACCCAGCAAGCCCATCAGGGAAGACAGAAGTACAAACAGTTGTGTGTTTATTTTCAAGCTTTAAAAAAGTATTATCTATGTGCAAATTCGGCAAGACAGCTAGCACCAGGCAGGAAGCAGGTAACCTGTATGCTGTAAACTCTGGTAACTCTTGGGCCTTGTCTAAACTACCTAAATGTACTCTGGGACTTCTAGTCAACCGTGGCAAACTTGAATTTTAAAGGCCCTTCCCATTAATATTGTGTGCCTTCACTATGAGAACTATAACAAAAAGTGCTTCATAAAGTTTTATTGATGGCATTTATCCCATGGTTTAACATGTTAATTATACTGTAATAAACATGGCTTTAATATTAAACTTTTCCTTATTATCCAAAGTCACCACAGTCCATTTCAGTAAATATAAAAATATATGCTTAATACTTTGTACAATACTGGTTTTTGGTCCAAACAAAACTGGATCAGAAAAGCCAATAAATTCAACTTTAAGAATCCCCAATTTTTTTTTTAAAGATTTCCAAATGGATTTAGGTAACTTTGAACAATGGGATTTACATAATAAAATCTGAGACAAGACTAAACAAACAACAAAAATATGGCTAACACAAAATTAAAATTTCAAGTTCACAGATTTATGTTATGCAAAAAAGTACAGAAAAAAAAATTGTATTTACAGAAGTTTCATAAAATAATGAAAAAGGCAAGACAGGTGATAGAAGAATGGAAATACAGAAATAGCATACAATTCTTAAATGGAGAATGAATGCGATCTAGCAGGTCCTTAGAGCATGGACCATTCTTTTAATCAGGCTTTCTCTATCAGATTCTTTTTGTGCACAATACATTCAACTCACTCACTTCACACACACCAGCACGAAGTCAGCATAGAAATCATTCATTTCAACGTCCTCTAGTCTATACAGAATTCTAGTCTATACAGAATTCTTCAGATATAATTACAATTTCAATGCGTTCCATAAACGCTTATCAACGCACATAGCAGTGCAGACAGAAAGGTTCTATACAAAGCCATTCACCGTGCAGGCTCTATTCCTGGGTACAGCCAGACTATGCCAATCAGTGAATAATGTGCTGGATCAGAAAATATTTTCGCTGAAGAATCAGTCACCATTCTAGCTATTATTTTCCAAAAAAGAGGATGGGAAATGAGGGTGGAGCGTTCATAAAGAAAAGAGGACAATCCCAGAAATGAAGTTCTTAGGCAGATCTGACTTCAGAGAAGCCCAGCATTAGTACAACCCAGTATGAAAAGCAGGGCACCAGCTGTGGAGAAAACTGTTGGCTTTAACACCTTTGTGATCTTTATTTCTTGCGTCTAATAGCAGTCTTTATCTTGCGACCAGAAACTGACGTTCCAGAAGAAGAGAACATGTTTTTCCCATTTGACCTGTGAAAAATAATAAAAACATTATAATGTGATCAGCAACAAGGTTGGCTTGGGGGGGGGGGCAGGATGTGCTGTGGATCAAGTGAACACATCTTCTGCTGTACCTGACTCATATTTATGCTCCTCCAATTATAATATAATATCTTACATTTATGCCTGTCTCAGACTGTGATACAATTGTACAAAATTTTAATAAATTAATACTGGAGACTATCTAATTTTACCCAAACTATACTATCACATCCTGACTTACTTTTGGAAAACAAAACATGTACACACCTGGACCACTGCAAATTCTCAAATCAACAACAACAAAAAAAAAAACCCTCCTACCCTACTGTAAATGCTGCTGGAGACTGGCTGAAAGGAAAGCCTGGGACAGACGGCTGCACTGAAGCCGCAGGAGTGCTGGGATTTGCACCAAATGTGAACACTCCTGATGGATTATTGTTTGTGAAGTTGAAATTTGTAGTGCTGCTGCCAAACTGGAAAACAGAACCTAGAAAATTAAGCAAAGACATTCCATTAATGTCAACCTGACAGATTTTCGGGAACAAGTTTGACCTCAACATGTAAAAACACATGAAAAGTTAAAATCTCCTATGCTCATTAATCTAGAGAAAACTGTTTTATTCATGACACATACTTGACACCACTAAGGGACTTAACTTACCCACGGACACAAAAGGGCAAAGTGAACACCTGGTTAAAGACAGAATCAACAAACACTTATCTCTATTTTCAAAAAAATATGTTAAATCAAGCTTGGTGGTAGATACCTTTAACTGCTAACACACGGGGGAGGCTGAGGCAGGTGGATCTTGGGAGTTTGAGGCCAGCCTGGTGTACAAAGCAAGCTCCAAGCCAGCCAAAGCTATGTAGTGTCTTCTTATAAGGGACAGAGAGGGGAAAAGGGGAAAGTGGAATGGAATGAAGGTAGGAAAGGAAGGAACATTAAAATAGAGCATTTCTTACAAAGGTGGAGGGTAAGGAAGAGGAGGCATCAGCAACAAAAGCTGAGAATCTTGGTGGGCTGAG